CCAATCACAGTCGATTATTCTTCTCACATTCGACTGTGATTGGTCCATTTCTTACTCTTACTTCTTACTCCGTATATTGTAGACGACCCCTCATGGGCTTTACTGATTACGTCTTACAGACTTACATTTTTCTATGTGCCATGGGCTTTAGTGGTTTTAAATATTCATACACGCTCCTCGAACTCTCTCCAAACGTTCCATAAAATATGCCGAAGCTCATCTGTCACATTTCCCACACGTTTTAAATATTTTTTTGTTCATTAACGTTTCTCAAACGCTCCACACACTCCACAAAAAGTGCATGGAACGTATCGATACACTTCCTTGTCCTTCATTGATATTTCGTCTACGCTTTCTAAACGTTCCACAAAGAGTACACGGAGCGTTCTAATACGTTTTGTGTACACTTCTAGGACATAAAACTAAAAAACTTTTTTTTAAAACAGAGCGCCATTGAGCTATACAGCGAACGTAAATGAATCGTCGTTGAGCAGTTCGCGGCACCTCCATCAGAGGGATACAGCGAGTTAAATTTCTCGAATTTAAAGAACCACATAGGCCGGTATTCACAGTCCGTTCTTATTTCAAGATCGTCTTAAGTAATGTCCTAAGATGCTAATACGGCCTTCTGATTGGTTAATAACATTTTAAGCCTGTACTTAAGACGACCTTGAATACAAGAATCGATTGACTACGAATACCGCCCATAGACTACTGAACTATAATACAACTGGAACGTGCACTGGCCACTAGAATGCGTGTCGAGAGAGTCAGCAAATCGCGGGTATAACTCCTTTTGTCGTACAGTCAAGTTAGAAGGTTTTAAAGTACCGGTAAATAGGGATGGATAGAGAGAGAGAGAGAGAGATGTGTATGTAATTTAAAATAAAAGCGTTGTATGAATAAAATAAATTACATAGAATAAAATACGTCAGATGAAGACAATAATTGTAATATATTTTGATATGAGAGTTATGCCGGTTCAGCTATATAAGACCAAAAAGAAGTGACTTTTACTTTTGAGTATGAATATAACGTTACGTTATGCGCATGCGCAGATAATTAAAAAGAGAAAGATATATCCGTCAAACATCATGCTATCTCGTTTTCCACACTCTTTCAACTATAATGCATTAGCACGGCAGTGCACGTTCCAGTTGTATTATAGTTCAGTGACACAGGCTAGAATAAAAGATGTAGCAATGATCAAGAACTATTGTAGAAGCATGTTGGAGCATATTGGAGCATGCGATGCGAATAAACTTAGTATTTCAATGAAATAATCTAAACTTTATGAAAATTAAAAAAAATAAATATTGTAAATATATTGAAAAATAAAGAAAAAAATGTAGAAAAATTAGGAAAAATATTAAATTACCTTAAAAATATATATTTATATAGAGAAATATTATATAATTGTAAATATATGCTATGAAAATGTTATGAGGAAGTTGATATAAAAGAATATATACGTATTTGTCCAAAAAAAAATTTTTTAAATACACTAAATAAAAAGAAATCTTTTTTGCTCGATTTTCTTTGTTACTTTTGCTCACTTTTTCAATTTATCATTTTTTCACAAGAATTAGACCAGTCTTTCGAAGTTTTTCATACATTTCACCAAATGGACAATGCATGCAATACTTCCATCCAAATTTCTATTCTGAATCATGTATGCTTTAAATTAAAAATGAACGTTTAAATGAAATATTGAAACGTTCGTTTAAATAGAGAGAGAAGGGGGAGAGGAGAGAGCGAGAGAGAGAGAATAAAGGAGAAAATGAGACGAGACAACTTACTTATTTCATACATCCGCGCTCCATTTTGACCAATATAAAATCAGGAGAATTGTGCTACTATATATACTGTAGCTGCGCTAATTTTGCTCTATTTTTTCCAATGGAAAACACTGGTCGATATTCAAAGGCTGCATTCGGAAATAGTCAGATCTTATATTCAAAATCGTCGTAAGTAAGCCTTAAGAAGTCACGAACCAATCAGAAGGCCGTGTTAGCGTCTTAAGACATTACTTAAGATGGTCTTGATCTTGAAGTAAGAACCGACTATGAATACCGGTCTTAGATCACGCTTGTTTCATGACGTGAATAGCATGTAGAGAATAGACTAACACACGACGCAGGCGCGACATACACGAATATACTTATCGTAGTATATGTGTACCAACCTCTGCCCTCTTTATTATGCTATTAACGTGTCGTAAAGCCCTGTGTCTACGGTGCTAGAACTCTGTCCAAGTTTTCGGATGTAGGAATATGTAGCCAATCAATGTAGATTTTATAGAAAAATGGCAAGTTGATTGGTTACATTTCTCGATTCGAGAATTCGGACCGAGTTCTAGCACCATGGACACTGGGCTAAAGTGAGCGTAAAATGGCATCAATGACTACATTCACAAGACACCCTTAATCAAGTTTAATAACATTCGTAGTTATGAAACTGGCCAATCATAGTCGTTCCATTTTTCCAAGGAACATCGTCGTTTAAATAGAGAGAGAGAGGATTAATGATCATTTTGGAATCATTTTGACATAATTTTGATATCATAATGACTTGTTCTGCTCGGGATGTATTTCATGTAATAACACTTGTAATATATGTAGGAAGATTGCAATTATTATCTATTCCCAGTGAGGAATGATAATGAAATCGAGAGAGAGAGAGAGAGAGAGAGAGAGAGAGAGAGAGAGAGAGAGAGAGAGAATTGGGATGTATTTCATGTAATAACACTTGTAATATATGTAGGAAGATTGTAATTATTATCTATTCCCAGTGAGGAATGATAATGAAATCGACATTGAATCGATGTCGATTCGACGTCAAAATTATCAAATTGACGTTGAATCGACATCGATTCGACATCGATTTCATTGTTATTTCTCACTTTATTTCATGCACATACCTATTTATCATTCTTATTCCTTAATAAAACTTTATAAACATATTTTATATAAGTTATTGTGTCATTTTACGTCTTATCTATATATAAGCACTATTTGTAAATTTTTCATGATCCATACATACCCGCCTCCCAAGGGTTTTAAAAAGTTCTTTTTTTTTAATTCGAAAAATAATTTCGGATATCTAATATTTTTTTCATAGTAGTAAACAAAGTTTTTACTGATATAGTGTATTTATCTTAAAAATAGTAAATAATACTTTATAATAAATTAAGTTTTTATTAGGTGCAGCGTATATACTGAAGTTACCCTAATAAAGCTTCATATGATGTAACACGTTATTCCCGTGGTCACAATCTTCAATATCGTATTTCCCATAACCAGTTAGTACGCTGATGGTCA